CGCCCCGACCGCGCCCCCCCCCCACCCTCCCACCCCACAATCGCCACCGACGCCCTGCGCCTGGCGCCCGGGGCCCTGGCTCAGCGTGGCTTCCCCCAGCCTGGTGATGGAGGAGGCCCCCGAGAGCTACAAGGACGTCAGCGCCGTGGTGGAGACCTGCCACGCTGTCGGCATCAGCAAGAAGGCCGTCAAGCTGCGGCCCATCGGCGTGGTCAAGGGCTGACGCGCCCTCGGGGCAGGCGGCGGGCAGGGAGGGTCGGTGCAGGGTGGGGCACCTGCCGCCTGACCAAGCGCCCGCGCGGCTGCGTTGTGTGTTGCAGGGTGACTGCATTTGGGGTTGGTTCGAGGGCAGGAGGGTGCGTGCTCAAATTTCTTGCTTGTTGCCACAGAGTCTGCGTGCGACTGTGTAGTTGCAGTTGTCAAAGAGCGGTGTTTTTTGGCGTTGTGCTGATGGTAGCTGCAAAGCAGCTGCCTGTGCTGTCGGCAGCTCCCACAATCTTTCGCTTCAAACACTGGCGCCACTGGGTGGCAATGTGCCCGGTAAGATCGAGCCATCTGTGTTGCTGTGTGTGCCGTTTTGCAGGACTCATAGATTGCCGTCTGGTGCACTGCTCATCACCCATCCCATCTGTTTCACTGCACATAACTCTCAAATATTCTCAAGCACCAAAAGATGCCTCGGGGCTCTGCACGACCCTGCATATTGCTTGCTGAGCTGCACTGCTTGCTTCAAGCCCAGAAGGTGGCGCATGTTGTGGACCCGTCGTGGGTCTTGGGCTCAACAGTTGTTGCACGTTTACACTGTAAAACAGCTGCGTGCCTCCCATGCTCCCAATTCTTGCTCCGTCCTCAGACATCTCACGCCCTGTTAGTGACAGCGCTGGCCGTCCTTGACGTGATGCACCGCCCTGCCAGGTCAGCGTCCCGCCCAGATCACCGCCGACCTCATGATCTGAGGTACTCGCTGAGCTTGATGGGCCCATCATCAGTCTTGGCTGCCTTGGCGCCACGCTGCCGCTCCTCGCCGTGGCCGCCGCCGCTGTCAGAGTCGCTGCTGTCAGAGCTGCTGCTGCTGTCGCTGCCGCTGCCGCTATCGCTGCCGCGCCGCCGCTTCCTCTTGCTGCTCTTGCTTTTGCTCTGCAGGGATGGCGGAAAGCAGGTGCACACCCAGTCAATTGCGGCCCGCCCTGCAATCGTCAAAAATCCGCATATCCAGTTGTAAACCACCATCCGTAGTCCCCTAACGAAGCGTCGCCCTCCCTGCTCCACTCCGCCCACCCCGCGTGCGCTGCACCGCCGCAGTGGTTGCCGCCAGGTCAGCATGACAGGCACCGCCGTTGCATCCGCCCGCACCTTCTTTTTGTCCTTCTTGTCTTTCGACTTTTTCCGCTTCTTCTTGTCTTTGTCCTTGCTCTTTGACCGCTCCCTGTCTTTGCTCTTACCTGATGGATGGCACCAGCAGAGGGAAGTTGCAGCAAGTCGGGAGGTTTGGCTCCTTCGACGCACGGGCACATGCATGTGCAAGGTGCCTCATGCGTCTTCTGCCTGCCTAACGCCCACAAAGCAACTTCCAAGCCAGGAAGGCGGCCCAACCCGCCTGTGCCGGCGAAAAAAGACGAGACCCCTGGAGCCCTGCGCATCTGCATGTACGTGCGCACACGCACGCACGCACGCGCGCACACACACGCACACGCGCACACACACACGCGCACACACACACGCACACACACACACATGCCTGCACCCACACAGCCCAATCCGCTGCAACACTCACGCTTCTTTTTGGATTCTGGCTCCTTGCCCGCCACCGCTGCCCCTGGAGCCCTGCCCAGCCGCGCCGCGCGCTCTGCATCGAGGAGGGCCCTGTGCTCCCCTTTCGGGGTGGAAGGCGGGGGGGCGGGCCGGCCGCTTGAGGAGGCATGCGAACTGCGGGCTGCCTCGCGCGCGGGGGTATTGGGCAGCAGCCGGCCACAGGCAGCACATCTGCCATGATTTGGCCTACGTCTAATGCATGTGCTCCTGCTGCTGGCAATGCTGCTGGTGCTGGTGGTGGTGCTGCTGCTGCTGCTGCTGCTGCTGCTGCTGCTGCTGCTGCTGCTGCTGCTGCTGCTGCCACCGCTTATGCCATCGCTGCTGCTGCTGCTGCTGCTGTTGTTGCTGCTGCTGCTGCTGCTGCTGCTTCCCCCCTGACCCTCCTGCTGCCGCGTCTGCTGCGACCCCGCCGCCCAACCGCGGCACTCACGCACGGCCTTCTCACTGCCGACAAGAGCGTCCTCCTTCGCCTGCAGGTCCCGTTGCTGCTTTCTAAAGTCATCCCAGCTCATGCGCGTCGACTATAGGGTGCAGGGGCAACGTGAAGGATGGCAAACAGGGTGCTTCAGCAAAAGGGCAGGCCGCCAGGGCCGACGACGCCAGGAAACGTGAGTCGCGCGAGCTACGGTTGTGTGCGTCGCCAAGCAAGGGTGGGGTCTTGCGGGCCGCCTGGGTCTGCGGCGGTGAAAAATCTCACCGTCAGCGCCGCTATGCGAGCGGCGTGCCACTCGGGGGTGTGGTATGTGACGTCGGCCTCCTGGTGCACCGACGCAGTGGTGGGCGGCGCGCCGGGCGCCGCGTCCTCGCCGCCGCCGGCGCCGCTCGAGGCGTACCGCTGCGCCTGCATCGCCTTGTGGCCCGCGTTCTTGCCCATGGCGGCGAGAGGCGCCTGGGCTGCCGGCCGCAGGCGTGCTGCTCGCGAGTGTCTGGGCCGCGCACGTCAAGTTGTGAAAACAGCGCCGGCCGTGTCGCCGCTGCTAGATGTGTCCGCGCTGCACCTGCTGGCGCGACCCACTGACCCGCAGCTTATGAAGAAGACAGCTGGCAGTTGTTCCCACAGTTGCAGCAAATGAGCTGTGCGACAGCAGGGCAGGAGGTGACGGAGGACAGCAGTGAGTGATGAGTGCACAGTGTAACGTATCAGATGTATATCATACCTGTATACCAAGTCTTACACCCAATCACATCGTTTCTAAATGAAGACATCGCTATCATCTGTGGTAAAGTGATCTCACTTGCTCGATCTCCGCAGAGCTTGTGAGCTCCATCGGATCCATATCAACGGGAATTGAATTGCATCATTCATCGATGTCAGCAGTCTCCAGCGCAGGGGCGGTACCAGGTGCCAGCCCCCCGACGCTGGCACAGCAGCAGGTGGCGGCGTTGCAGTTCGCCTCCCAGCAACAGTTAGGCCAGCCAGCATCAGGGCCCCAGCAGCAGCAGCAACAGCAACAACAGCAGCAACAGCAACAGCAGCAGCAGCGCCAGCGACGGAGATGCGCAGAGGTGTGCAACGAGCTCCTGACAATTGAGGCGGTAGCTTTCTTCACGCAGAGGCAGTATGGGCCAGCGGCACCCGCGGCGCTCGAGGCGGTCGGCTTCAGGGTGGGGCGGCAGCTGGCGGAGCGGTGAGCTCCTACAGTGCCCCTGGCAGTGCGCTTCTCCCATGCCCTCGCAACAGTGCTGCCCAGCTGCTGCGGCATTACCGCCATGCCGCCACGCCATCAGCCGGGTCCCCCAAACACTCCCCCAGACCAGACTCGACTCAGCACACCCCATCAATCGCCCCGCACATCCTCAACACGTGCCTGGCAGGTATAGCCGTGACAAGGCTCGGCTAGGGGACACGTTGGAGGTCATCAAGTTCCTGTGCAAGGACTTTTGGCAGGCTCTGTTCAAGAAGCAGGTGGACAACCTCAGAACAAACCACCGGGTGAGCACAAGGCCTCCGCGGGCCAGGGCCATCATTGTATGTTTGGACCAACAAGAACGCTGGCATCAGGCAGCTGGATCGCTGGCTGGCAATCGTCTGAACAGCTCGGCGAGGGCAGTGCGGCTGCTCCCCAGCCCAACCAGTGCGGCATGGGCGGCAGGGGTGGTCGCGGCCTGCGCATGCGAGCCGCCCCCGTCATGCCATGCGGCCCCTCTCCGCCCACCATGGCGAGCCCCCTCCTGTACTCCTCCTGCTCAACCCGAACCTCCAGGGCATCTACGTGCTGCAGGACCATAGCTTCCGCTGGCTGCTGCGCCTGGCGCCCGCCGCGCCCGTGCAGGAGGGGTCGCGGCCCGAGTTCCTTGCGCGCTCGGCGCAGCCCTACCTCTACCTGCCTTGCGGCATCATCCGCGGTGAGCGCGCAGAGCTTCAGGGCTGGGCAGGCTGCGTGCCGCCATGGCCCTGGTGCTGCAGCGAGTCGCGCTTCACTGATCAGACACCACACGCGTGCTTTGCTCCGGCTGCCACCGCTGGGAATGATGGCGCGCGGGTGTCCGTGGCTTTCGGCCAGCTGCGTTGGCTGGGCTTCCGAGAGGCAGACGCTGATGGTTGCGCCTATGGGGCGAATGTTCGTTCTGTTTGTTCTGATGCTGCACACAGGTGCGCTGACCCACCTGGGCGTCAACTGCACTGTGGAGGCGGATGCCAAGGCCCTGCCCAGCTGTGAGTCCCCGCGCTAAATGTGCACGCTTGGGGGTTATTTTGTGTGGGACCCGCTGCGCCAGGGGGTGTGCAACCAGGGCTGCCTGGGTCACTGCTTGTGTTACATGCATGTCTTTGCCGCAAACCCGCCCACCAAGTACACGAGAAGGGACACGCACCTTGCCTCACGTGCACCAAACGCTCCCTGCACCCACGATTGCAGGCAGCTTCACCATCAAGATCACGACATGAGATGGACAATTTCAGAATAGGACCCCTGCTGCACCACTCCCCTGAGGAATACAACGCGCACACGCAACTGTAACTGTAGTCAACTCTATACAATTGTACTCTCTTTCAAATCAGCATTCAAGTGGAATCCTGTGCTCGGCGCTGGCTATCCCTCCAGCACTAGCAGCTCCTGCTCCCCCTGCTGCACCTCCGGCTGCCGCTGCCGCTGCAGCCACTGGCGCCCCCGCCGCCGCTTGCCACTATGCGCCCGCTTGTGGCGCGCCGCAGCAGCTTCAGCGGCGGCGACGGCCGCCGCCTCGTTCTCCTGCCAATTGTCAAAAACCGCGGTCACTCGGTAGTGCCCACATGACAGGGCATAATCCAGGGCCGAGTATCCGAAAGTGTTGGGCGCATCGGGCCGCGCGCCGCCGTCGAGCAGCGCCTGACACGCAGCCGCGTGCCCGTGCCGCGCGCCCCAGTGCAGCGGCTGGTGGCCCGAGAGGTTGGCCGCTGACGCGTTTGCCCCGTGCGCCAGCAGCAGAGCGATGACGGAGGTGTGCCCCTGGCGGGCCGCCCAGTGCAGCGCCGTCGTGCCGTCCTCGTCCCCCGCGTCGGCCGGATGGCTGCCCGCATCCGCGGCGGCGCCGGTGCAGCTCCAGCTGCTGCGCCGCCACCACTTGGAGCCGTTCCCGCCGCTGGCCAAGGCTTCCAGCAGCACCGCCGCCACCTCAGCGTGCCCCGCGCGGCACGCCAGGTGCAGCGGGCGCGTCCCGTCGTCTCGCTCCGCGTCGGGCGCCGCGCCGGCGCGCAGCAGCAGGCTCACGGTGCGCAGGTCACCGATGGATGCCGCGGCGTGCAGCGGCGTGCTGCTGTCGGTCAGCAGCCGCGCGTCCACGTCAACGCCGCGCTTCCGCAGGAGGACCGCCGCGGCCGCCGCGTTGCCGCCAGCGGCGGCCGCGTGCAGCGGCGTCTCGCCGTCGCTCGGGGAAGCGGCGCACGCAGCGCCGCGGCCGGCGCGCCTCAGCAGCCGGCGTACAAGCTTGGCGTCCCCGCCGGCGCGGCACGCGCGGCGCAGCTCCTCCTCCGCTTCGTCCGTGTCCTGCAGGCGCATGGCGCGTGGTCCAAACTATAATTGTCGGTGTTCCTGACGAGCACGCGTTTTGCAAGCTGAAGAGTGCGCATTTTGCGCGGCGCTCGACTGATTTGATTGTCCGCACAGCGCCGCGACCTGCGGGTCGCGTCCCGCAGCCCGCAACATGGCAGCACATGCGCACCTGCTGCTGTCCGAGCTCATCGCCGCCATCTGCCAGCGACGCGCCAGCCGGCGGCAAGGGCAGCCAAGCCTTGAAACATGGACGCACAGGGCGAATAATGGGATGTGAGGGATGAAAAGGCATCCCAGGCCATGACCGGCTTTGTGAGCAGGCACGTGATTTGCAGCATCATCATCATCATCAGCAGCAGCAGCAGCAGCAGCAGCAGCAGCAGCAGCAGCAGCAGCAGCAGCAGCAGCAGCAGGCGCAGCAGCAGCAGCAGCAGCAGGAGGAGGACCTGGCCCGCCAGCACGCGTGCAGCCTCTGCTCACCTCATCCGTTCCTGGTTCCTCAGCAGCATGCAGGCTGCTTATGTATACTTGTACTCTATTATCGCTTCCAGCTTTCATTCGACCCGAGCGGTTTGCGGAGGATAGCCTTTTCCCTCGCGTAGAAAGCCTGCGACAATCTTGAGGGTATACGTGACTTGTAAGGTTGATATAAAACCCAGACGGGGCTTGCCGATTGTGTGCATCGTGTGCAGATCGTCCGGGCATTCCACAAAACCTCGCCACCTCGCTCTTGTTGCATCACCACAGGCGATGTTTGTACGACACAGCTCCAGCAACATGCGCCTACAACAAACAACCATGCATGCCTTGGTGTGGTCTTGTTATGATGTTGTGAAGCATGCAGCTCACTGCTTGGGCCCTGCTGCTGGGGCGGGGTCTCAAGCTGTGGCTGGCCCGGCACTAGCCACAACAAAGCGTGCCATGAGAAATATGATACAACCCTTTGTGAACAAATAATAGGCAGACCACCAGGTTGGCCAACACGTGCTTCACACCAAGCAGGTGCAGGGCATCCAGCCCCGACCCCCTGGAGTTGGCCCTTGACTCATCATTGACAACACTCCCTGATTCCCAGTGCAGCGCAGCGGACATGCATCGGGCCTGGACGTGAAGCCCTGTCTAGGACGTGAAGCCCTGTCGAAGGTTATACCACTTGTGATGGGTACGGTATCGTATGGGTACAGCACTCATCACCCTCACGGAAGTGACTGACTAAAAGCAAAGTGCGTCTGTTACGAGGCGGATCATGGCTGTGAGGTCGCTGCCCAAATAGGTATCTGGTGTTTATCCTACAGCCTAATATGCACCAAAAGGCCGGTCGGCGCTGCACTGCCAGATCCCCCAAGTGACCAAACTGCCTGGAACGCGGGACAAGCCGGCTTGAAGCTGTCATTGTAAGCACGATCATGCCAAACAGTGACAGCGGTGCAGCGCGCTCTCAGACAAGCGTCGCACCTGCCCTGCACCGCCGCCCACCCCTGATCCCCACTGGCCATGTCATGCGCCCTTCGTCATCGCTGCAGTGCACTTGACCTCGCAGAGATCCATGTCCTGTCCAACTCATGCTGCCCATCCAGGTACCCACTACGGCCTGGAGTTTGCCCATGGCTCGCCCTGGCTCTGCCGGCCTGCTGCTGGCCACAGCGCTCATCGCGCTGTGCGCCAGTCGCACACCTGCCGCCGGCGCGGCGCGCCACGACGCTGCGCCCCCGAGCTA